ATAGAAATTCGAGACGCGAATCCTTGCCAAGACCGTTTTTATTTATCCTTTAAGTTCACTTCCAGATAAAACTACATCCTTTAACTTTATATTACTAGAAGATTGATCAATGCAAAGTAAACCTTATTTCGAAAACACTAAGGGTAAATTTTATTGTTTAAAGAAAAAACTAGTGGAAGAAGTAAGCCTCATAATGGGTGCATGTATAAAACTTTAACCATTATACAATGTAGAATGTTGCTTTTATAATCTTTGACCAAACTCCCTGTATAAAACATAGCTTCGTCCCTCTCATTATCTTTGACAAAACAGAGATAACAATATATACAGGTACTTTGGTCTCAAAAACCAACGATTAATTTGTTATTTTATTTCGTGGTATCATAGATTAGATTTCGTCTATGAACTTAATGCATTTTCAAAAATATATCGCTAGCTTTATTATTTTTTAAGAAAATGAAAGGAATAGTTGTATATAGGAATATATGTTTAGTACAAATGTTTTATCATTGAAAACACAGTGTTATATTTATAATACCGTGTATACATCTGCTTAAGTCGTAGCTTGTATCCATAACAACGTATCAGTAACGCCACACTAACATTTGGCGATATTGTACAACACCAGACGACCATAAAGCTTCCTCGCCTAATTCCACGATAACACTCATGCCGACCCAATTTTTCTCAGCAGCTCTGATAAGACGACAAAATACGACTTTTTTATTTATAGAGTAGTTATTGTTAATACACTAAGTGTGTTTTTTTTATTTTTGTTACAAGCTTTTGTTCATTGCTTTTTATTTATGATACTTAACTAGAATAGGATATATTTTATTCATACACATATAACATATTACTACTTGAATATTAAATATAAGGAAACATAAACCAATATAATATCTTATCTTACTAAGTTAAATAAATACCTTAATATCATAAAAGCGAATGTTCAGATGGATGGATGGTTGGATGTTTGAAGGTTACGGCTCAACGGATTTAGATGAAATTTCGAACACATGTAGAACATAGTATGGAAGAACATATAGGCTACTTATTAAGTATTTAACTCCGCGCGGACAGAGTCGCGGGCGATAGCTAGTGTATGTAATATACATTATATACAGAATATAGAAATTAACTTTTTTTCGAAAATTTATGCATTAACAACTCCTACAAATATTACGTATTTTATGATGAAAAAGTCTTATTTTATTCAAGACATTTCATCCCTTTTAACCTTCTTTTATCTTTTTAACTTAGATTAATTTAATTTAAGATTTAGTTTAAACATTTATCAAAGTGTTAAAATAATTTAGCATATTATCCAAAACAGTAAATGGCGACTTTACATGCTTTAATAATGTAAATTAAATCTGTTATTGCTTTCCCTTGTAAACAATATTATCGAAAATATATTTTAATTTAAGCCAAGCTTCTGTAATGAGAATAAAGCGTGAGCCACGGCCACATAGGCTGATCGACATTTTAAACAAACACCGCTAATCCCGGCCGACAAGCTTCCGCCCGCCGGCTTTCTGACGCCCCATTTTCCCCACATTTCGTACGATATAAAATCTATGCTCACAACACTATTAGAATTATGTTTTAAATACGCATGAAATAATTTCATGCGTAAACAGAATTAAAATGTAATAAATATGATAAAAAATACGTTTTAATTATATACAAGTTTCGCTTAGTTAGTTAGTTTTGTTTAGTATATCCATATGTAACTAGTATATATATTACTAGCGGACCCGACAGACGTTGTTCTGTCTACACGTCTTTAATTTTGAAAATTTCAAACTTTTTTTAATAAAAATTTGACACTGCGATGGTAGCGCCGTCTGTCGGATCCAATGTAAAACATTCGAAAAACAACAACTACTAATAAATTAAAAATTAATTAAAAAAACATTGTCCAGCGGACAACATTGTGAATCTAAACCATTCACAGATCCCCTTGAACACACACAAAAAATTTCATCAAAATCGGTCCAGTCGTTTGAGAGAAGTTCAGTGACATACACACTCACAGAAGAATTATATATATAAAGATAATTAATTACTCATATTTTTTCCTGACTTTTCCTGATATTCATATGTTATATACCCCTCTATCTATGTTATTCTCTCCTGTCCCACTGGACTGCCTGGAAGAGATAGCTCAGAGCGATAAGGCCGCCCTTGCTTTGTATTTTTTTTTTCTATTAAAATAGAATTAAGAGTTAATAAATAAATAAACTTATATGATATATAAAGAAGTCGGCTAAATACAGGATGTACCTAAATAACAACTTATCACAATCCATAGCTGTCTGATGTCATAATCATTCATTCATTCACGTAATCTTCTACCATATTTAAGTGTATTATTTGAATATTTTTATGATTGAAAATTGTAACGTGCATTTAATTTTGTCATATTAATAATATGAAAAAACATGACAAATTCTATTACAGGTATCCAATAAATTATAAATGCCTTAAAGTGAAACGATGCAACATTAAAGTTAATTAATATGCTGTCAAATGGGTAAGGCCAAGGCTGAAACAGCCGACATCACTTTATTTTAAAGATACGAATAAATTTACCTAATTAAGCTTCCAAAGGGAGCAATAAAATTAAATGGAACATCCATGAAAACAGACCGAGATTATATTCAATATTAACGGGGAGACGAACATTTTCGAATAAAATATTGAAAACAAAATACGGTCGTAAAACAAAAATATTCTTCTGTGGTTTAAAAATGATTGACAATACATCTTATTATTTAGACATCAAGATAGTTTTTCTTATTAATTTCTTAAGGTTGGTTTCTGAGACTAAAATTCCTGTATAAAACATTTTACTATCTCTATTTTGTATAAATAGTACATACGACCTGCGGTGGCTCAGGGGTTTAAGCACTTAACTTGCAATCTGCAGGTCTTGGGTTCGAATCCCGCCATGTACTAATATCTTTTTCGATTTCCGATTTACATATATACATTTAACCGACGTTCTTACGGTGAAGGAAAACATCGTGATGCAACCTGAGAAGAAATTCGAAGATATGTGTGAAGTTAACCAACGCGCACTTGGCCAGCGTGGTATGGCCTAGTCACCCGTAACATAGGGTAGGCTCCGAGCCCCTCGGTGGGGACGTATAATGAGCTGATGATGTATAAATAAAGAGGGCGATGGCAATGTGATATATAGAAGGATATTAATCTAATAAATTTGTCTAGTATTTGTTACTGTTAAAGTACTTACTTTAATGAACGCTAAGATTATGTAGCCTAAATTAGAGTGAAAGTGTAAATCTCTAGTTTTAGTTCCTTCAAACACATGGTAAATTTCAGTATACAGATTATATTTTACTCTATCTTAGGTTTTACCAGAGTTCAAACTTTTCACTTACATATATATATTTGAAAGCTGTATATCTATACAACAGAGTTGAACCTGTTAGCAATTCAAACAAAGTGCCGAAGCACTTTAACAATTTCAACGTAAAATCATGTCTAAGTGATGTGACAAACTTGAAGCAATTTACGGGACTATTTCCGACCTATTAAACTTTAATGTTTAAGTTATAACTTTATGTCAAATTGGGCATAGTATTTTCAGTAAAAAATTAAAAAATAATGATTTTCTTACTTCGTATTGTTGCGTCCATTGTAGATAGGCTTTTGTTAGTTATAAATCTTACTAATCTTGCTAATATTATAGATGGGAATGATTGGATGGACGTATGTTTGTGTGAAGATATCTCCAGAACGGCTAAATGGATCTCGCTTAAATTTGACATAGATTTACAGCATAGTCTGGAAAAACACATAGGCTACTTATTAAGTTTTTCAGTCTGCGAGGACGGAGTCTTGGGAGACAGCTAGTTAGGTTCTTAAAATGGCATTAAACTTCTCTAATCCCGTTCTCTACTTTAATAAGTCAGTAATTTTTACACAGCTTTTTAGACAATATATTAATTTTTATAAGCATTAATATTATTATCTTCAAGCAGACCTCATTAAAAAAGTTTAATAAAGTTTTCAAATTTTGCTTTGTATGTTTACAATATGAGTATACCAAAGTTGGCTAGCGGCCGAGAATATAAGCAATATTCGGGGAATTGCTAACAAGTCTATGCTTTGTTTGTATTGTAACATTAACTTCTGACTTCCTTGCTTAGCTGATATAATATAAATAACCACAAAATAACCATATATATAAAATTCTCGTGTCACAATGTTAGTTACCTTACTCCTTCGAAATGGCTTAATCGATTTTTATGAAATTTCATATGCATATTGCGGTCTGAGAGTCGACAATTATCTATTTTTTAATCTCGGAGACAGAGCACTTTTTATAGCTCAGAACATCCTGAAAATATTAGTATAAGTCTTTGTTGTAGATAAATTGGAAGAAAATAGTTTTAAGCAATTAAAAACAGACTCGTGTGTTGCTTTGAAGTAGAAATCTTTAATTACAGACGTTTGGGAAAATAAGGTTAGTCTACGTGATTAGAGTAAATTTTGTAAATTCTATACACATGTATGAAGAAACGTTAAAGCTTTGTTAGTGATTAATTAATTTGTGGACTGTGGATGTTTTATTTGGTAAATGCCACAAAAGAAATCACTAAAAAGTTATTTCAGATAAGTCCGACGGCCAGTATCTAAATGGATCATTATCGGAAAGGTCCCTAATGGTCCTGATCGAGTACTGTAATGTATTAAAGTATTTTCTTCATTCATTCCGGACGTCTTCAATCGCTCTCAAATCTTGATAGATTGATTTCGTTTGAAGTTTTCAGATTATTTTTATAGCAAAATATTTAATCGTTTTTTTATTTTGTGGTCGTTAAAATATTAAAAACATCTCATTCACAAAAGAACTACGATTTTCATTTCAATGTGATTCATTCTCAAAGATGATAATTTTTCAACAGCATGTTTGAGCTTGATTATTCCAAAATTTCTTAACTAAATATCGATTTCTCTTGTTTCAGGTAGACATCATAGTAAGAAGATATAATGGAGGCAAAGAAACGAGGAACGTAAAATATGCCTGAAAATGGACATTAATCATATAATACTGGACAAAGAAGCAATTAACCGATTTGAGCAATATACACCGGCCAAACCGGCTCTTAATGGGGGGATCCTACTGGAAACATGCCAAGACGTGGATTCGATGGCTTCAACTAGCAAAAAACGAGCACAAACACCACGCCAAAAAGTTATTTGCTGCTTTTGTTTTAAAACCACAAAGTATAGACGAAAACAGTTTATTATTGGATCTCTCACCAACATGGTAATATTTTTTATTTTATTGGCGTACACTTTCTTAGGATCAATTATATTTTTAACGATCGAAGGCGAAACAGATATAACAGCACGACCCAGGTTATTACCCGATAAACAAAAGATCAGTCAAAACGATCACAATAATACGAATAAAAAAGAAGTTGAGGAAATTGATCCAGATTATACCAACCTTACGGTTTCTGCAAATTATTTTTGGGACGCGAGAAGTAAAGCAGTAGAAAACATTTGGGAGATCACAGTGTCATTAAACATTTTATACAGAGAAAATTGGACTCGTCTTGCTGCGCAGGAAATATTGAAATTTCAAAATGAGTTGATTCAAAGAGTAACAACTGAAATGGCTACTCAATACGGAGTCAGTTATAAAGAATTGGCTCTCGGAGAATTTGGCAGCGGTGACAGTAACAATCATTACGAAGAACATGAATGGAATTTGGCACTTGCGTTTTTCTACTCGTTAACAGTCCTAACCACAATTGGTAAGATTCTTGTCTTTATAAACTTATTCATTACTAACAATACAAATAGGAAATATTTGATGATACTATTTGCGTGATATAAGTTGAAATGCCTTAATGTCCTTTGGGAAAATACTACCGCTATGTTAGAGTTAACTAGCTGTCGCCCGCGACTCCGTCCGCGTGAAATTAAAAACAAACTTAATAAATAGTCTATGTGTTCTTCCAGATAATTCTCGACATCTATGTCAAATTTCAGCGAGAACCACGAGGCCGTTCCGGAGATACCTTCAAATAAACATCCATCTAAACATTCGCATTTATAATATTAGTATTATAAGAAAACTTGTATCGTTGATACACCATAAACCGTGGGTTTCTGAGACCACAGACCACGTTTGAAACATATTGTTATTTCTGTTTTTTTAAATAACAGGGATGATGATATGTTTTATGAAGAGATTTTGGTGCCAGAAACTAACGATAAAAGTATTATTTATCGAATAACTTTGATACGATTTGTAAATCATTTTTTTCTTTTCCAGGTTACGGTAACATCGCACCGAAGACAATTCTTGGGAAAGGAGCAACAATTGTATATGCAATCATCGGAATTCCCCTTACTTTAGTATATCTCTCAAGTGTTGGCTCCCTTTTATCTAAAATGGCACGAAGCGTTTTTAGTCGAGCATTATGTTGCTGCTTATGTTCCAATTGTGGATACTGTTGTTATGACGAACGACGTATGGCTGAAAAGGAGAGAAGAATGAAGCTACGACGACAACAAGAAGAAATGTTAAACAGTCAAAACACGAGCAAAACACCAACAGAAGAATGTTACGTTTTAAAAACTGATAGTCACAAAGATTCCTCTTGTTCAGAACGACCGACTACAAGTACTGCCAAAGATGATGTTATTAGTTGGCCTGATACAGATTCCAAACTTTCTATGCACGGCTTAAGTATTTTAGCACCAGTTTTATTATGTCTTGCTGCAATTTTTATATACATTACATTGGGTGCAATTATTCTTTATAAACTAGATAATATGAGTATCGTTGACGGATTTTATTTTTGTTTCATGGCACTAAGTACTATTGGATTCGGTAGTATAATTCCTGGCATGAGCTATACGACAATTCACGGTGTAAGATATTACACGATTAATTCTACAACACTATGGTTTTGTTCAGTGTACACATTGACAGGATTAGCTTTAACTGCAATGTGCTTTGGTGTTATACATGATGAAATTATATACAGAATCAAACATCAACAAAAGGAATGGTCACAGAAAAATAACACTGTAAATGATGAGGTAAACATAAACGATCCATTTTATATGAGCTCTTGACAAATGTATAAAGGTAAATCAGAAAACTTGTACAGTATTATGGAAGATACATCTATTATGGAACGTAATAGAATTGAAATTGACAATAGGGAAGTAGTACTAAGTGTAGATGATATATCTTCAACAGTTGATACGAATCCGGAATTTCCTCCGCCTCCACCTGAAGAAGAAATTGTAGCGATAGTGACTAAGAAAGAGCCACAGGGAACTTTTGGTAACATGGTAGCGTACAATGCGTTACCAGAAATGCTCGAACATGTCAATAATTAGATTTGTAATGTAACTTTTTATACATATTAAGTGAACCTTTGTAACAAATATAGTTGTATAATTTACTGTCACATGTTGACTATACATATGATTTAAATCAAAATATAAAGTCTGACATAGAAATCTAATATCATAATGTTCTCTTAGATTTTCTTTATTGTACATAAATGTAAATATGTAAAATACTTGAAGAATAATTTAAGCTGGTAAACGATGTATAACATCTTCTAACTAAATCTATATGTCAACTGTTAATATCATGAAATTTAGACGTAAAATATTTTCATGTGAATAGTTTCTTTGTAAAATTGTAAGTTAATAAAATGAAATAATATTCGTATGTCTTTTGTTATTTCATTCCTGTGACTTATTCCTGTTTAGTGAAGAGTTGACTTCGTTATGTTTGTAATACATATCATCATCACCATCAGCTGAGGGCCTCGGAGCCTACCCTAAGTTAAGGGTAACTAGGCCTTAGTCAACCACGCTGGCCCAGTGCGGGTTGGTTGACTTCACACATATCTTTGAATTTCTTCTCAGATATGTGCAGGTTGCATCACGATGTCTTCCTTCACCGTAAGAACGTCGGATAAATGTACATATGTAAATCGGAAATCGAAAAACACATTGGCACATGGTGGGATTCTCGGAGCTGCAGATGGCAAGTCAAAGGTTGAAAACGCTTGAGTCACCGACGCTCTATATATAAAATAATCTTGTAAAAACTAAGGTACATTATTGGTACTAGCTCATTTATGAACATAGACCGTGAGTTTTTAAGACCAATATCCCTATTTAAAATTTATTGGCATCTCTTTTTTGTCATAGATAATGGCAGGGATGGTGATGTGTTTTATACAGGGATTTTGATATCAGAAACCAACAAAGACACTAGGAATCCAGTCACATCCCTCGGTATTGCAGCTTCAGGAAAACGACACAAGAATGAACGAGATAATTGAAATTAATAGAATTAATATGGGGAATGATTTCATTCATTAGTGGTTTACATTCTAGAATTCTAGATTGCTACAAGACATTGTTACGAGTACCATTCATGTTTAAGCTTTGAATACAACAGGAATAGTTTACGGCACCATTGTGTTAAGACCGACAATGTATTAAGCAGCAACTTAGATACACGTACGTACGATAGCAGACTATTAGTTACCACTGGATCAATAGGAGTCGAGGAGAAATACATGGTTTGATCCTAAACAATACATAGTATTACTACTCCAATTGTTATAGACGGCCTTTGTACGGACGTGATAATCATAAATAAACTATCTGTATGTGACTCCGGTTACGCGGAATTAGAAAAAACTTAATTATACTTACCTATTTGTTCTTCCAGACTTCTACATCTATGCCAAACTTCAGTAAAATCGATACAGTCCTTCTAGAGATACCTTCTAACAAACATCAATCCAAACATTCGCAATTGTATAATATTAGTAAGATTAAAAAATGCTTCTGACTGTACTATCAGTCCAGTCCTTCAGGCTCTAAGCTATCACAAAGTATTATAAATAAATACAAACATATACAAAAAAGGGTATTGACAGACAGACGGACGGACAACAAAGTGATCATATAAGGATTCCATTTTTTTTCCTTTCTGGCACGGAATCCTAAAAAATAAACTTTTATACACATTATAAATAATGTCTCATCATCATACAAAAGGGCTCTAAAAAGGATACTAAAGTACGGAATTTTAATAATCCGATGCAATCTATTGTTAAAATTTCTTATGTGTAAGTTGAACTATCCACTATAGGACATGATGTTTGTTGCTGAAAAAGCAATTGTAATGGAATATAGCAGGGGAACGTATAGTGAGCTGATGATGATGATACTTTTATGTATCCACGCATATCTTGATCAGAGTTTTTTTTCTTATTTCTTTTTTATTCAGAGCAATAATGGAACGTACAATAAAGCCGAAATAAAAGTGGATCGTTGCAAAGTTTAAATAAAAGCGTAAAAATAGAATATTGAAAGAAGTCTCGAGTGAACTTTTAGAACAAAGCCATTTTCGCCTTACTGAGAGGGTAACTTTACCACTCAGACCGCAATGAGAGAAACGACGGGCTACGGTTTGCGAAATCTCTTACGGATAATAATTTGTTATTTTTAGTAATTATTTATTTTAACAATTTGCATACGTGAACTAAATAATCTATTATGTTCATAAAGCATAATTCTACTAACGCTGTCTGAAACCCATATTACGTTCCGTTTACGTACGCCAAAAATTTGGAAAATGCCAACGGAGCTCCTTGCCAATCAAAATATAGGAAAAATATTACAAAACTGTCAACTATCATGACTACAGTACCATTTTAAACCAGATGAAAATGTGATCAAGCGTTCTTTTATTAAGACACATTTAATAATAAATTTTGATGATACCACTAGCAGTCGATTCCATCCGCGGATTGAAAAGAACACCTTAATAAGTAGCTTATTATGTTCTTCAACACTATGTTCTTCAAATTTCATCAAGATCCGTTCAGGCGTTCCGGAGATATCGTCTAACATCTAAACATTCACAGTAGCTTATTATGTTCTTCAACACTGTGTTCTTCAAATTTCATCAAGATCCGTTGAGGCGTTCCGGAGATATCTTCTAACATCCTAACATTCGCATTTATAATACTACTAAGATAAGTAGTTACACAGCGTGACGATTCATTAGCTTGGAGAACAATAAACAAAATAAAGGATACAATCAAATGTTTTATATTACACATCAATTCACTCTGAGTGGATTACATTACATTTCCAACAGTTGTCCTGTAAGCTTTATTTTCTCGCAACGTCACGACACTGGCGTACAGTATCGCTGCGCAATCCGTTATTGTCGACTGGAAACATTTCTAGCCATAAAACGAAACTATATCGTATTATAGTGACCCAACGAATAATAGTTCTGTAAATGTCCTTATAAAATTCTGTACGCACAATGCAAAACAGTAATAGCAGTACTGGTTACTCAATGTAAGTATGATAATTATACAGGAATAATATAAATAAATAAATGAGTAACTTTTTATTAAAATACAAAAAAATATATATGGTGATACTATGAAGTTGAAATTCAATATTAGATTTTTTACTGTTACTTTTTTACTAGTAATATTAAACATGTTTAAAATAAAATTTGCTATAGACATATTGCTAGGCGCAAAACTGGTCCTACACTTATTTTTGCAAAACATTATTGTTTGCTAATTAATTGATTCTTTTTTTCTTATAGTGAACGCTAAATATTTTTCGTCTTATTTACTTTACCTTTTCTAAAAAGAAAAAGTTTTACCATGTGTGCGCCTACGTAAACTTTTCTGCGAAGAGTTGTCGGCAAATGTTTGCCGCTTATTAACTTACCTTTCATCGTAAGTCATACATTTAACTTGTCTTCAACTACTAATGTATTTGCAAAGACTATGAAATATTATTTTATATAAGACGGTTAACTAAATAAGTACCGATTCTGATGTGCGTAAAATTATAAATACATAAAAAATAATACATCTGCTTTACTCCAGCTAAATAATCATTAATAAACTATTGCATTTGACGGCAACATTTTTAGTTTTAGTGGAATAAATTCCGGATTTTAGCAAACATTTTCTTAAAATCTAAGCACCTGAAATATTTGAATAGTTAAAATTCATAAATAGGTTTCTGCAGATATCGAGATGGAAGTCTGAACTTCCACGGCTTTTATTTACATTGTTTCTCGCAAAAGAAATTCATATTTCATAAAACGATGCTATCACGAGCAAGTTTATTGCCAATAAAATTCTGGAATATGTATCAACTTGATGCTCAAATATTTAATCTCATCGTTTTGAATCGAAAAGAAATTGTCTATAGTATATAATCAATTTCAGGGGCAGCCAACTCGATCGCACCGTAGATATTGTTTTCGACGAATCCCTGTTTAACAAGTACAAATTTCGTAAAACCTTAAAAAAAAACAGCATAGTTTAGAAAACAATTATGAAGTTTTTTGTATTTTATTAAAATGGAAATAATAAAACTGACAATCACTCTTAGTGAATACCTATTTATCAACTATATAATATCGACTGGAGTAATACTCGATGGAGCGACCGGTTGGCCACCCCTGGATCGTTATTGTAAGCTTACATACCATAAAACAATATTTCTCATATGTGTTTACTTGTTTTTCAAATATACTTAATAATGGCTTGAAGTGAAATCCACATCTAATATTTCATTACGGATTTAGTTGACCAATAACCGATGTTTCTAAGTCCAAAATCTTTAAAACGAATCATCGCTGTCATTATCTTTGACAAAACAGGGATAACATGTTTTAAACGGGGATGTTGCTCTCAGAAATTCACGGTAAGTCCATTAGAAAAACATACATTACCTAATAATTTAAGTAACCTACCTACTCAAGGTCGGTCTGATAGACGGACTCGGACGCACACTAACAAAATAGTTATTTTCTATTCGTGTCGTCCTGCACCATGAAAACGTGCGATAAATTTCAAGCTTGCTCATTCTTTAAAAGTCGTCTATGGAATGAAAACAGCTATAGATAGCTGTAAAATCCAATAAAAATGAGAAAAAAAATCATAAAGCTTTTCTTTATTTGGCCGTAAAAACCACAGCAATGACTTTAAAGCTATAATAATGGTACTATATCAACGTTATTCTTAACTTTCCGCTCAGAAGTCATATAAAGT